CTCGATTTATTTGTGACATCTTAAAACCCACTTTGATCACTTAGCTGAATTTGTATTCCATAGGATTATAGTGTATTGTTGGTCCTTTTGAACGAACCTAACTATTCTGCATCGAATTAGTGATTCTAGGTTTGAAATCTTAAACTGGCAAAATTCCTTTCGCCAATGTCGACATATATTTTTGCAAAAGTATAATGGTAAAAAGTGAAACAACTATAGAAAACAAAAAAAATGAATTTTACCAAAAAAATGAGATGTATTTATTGCATGTGTAAAGAATTCTGATTCTGTAAAAATGTATATGACTCTATATCCAGTTTTAAAATTGAAAAAATTGTTGACGATGGACGTGACCCTGAAACTTTGATTCTATGACATCTAGAAAACTCAAAAATCGGATACCAAGTCCTGGGAAGGGATATAATCACATATCTCTAGTTATTTAAAATAATACATGCGCTCATTTTATGGTTAACTTCGTCTACAGATGGTAACCAAACAATCCAGTAGTGACAATGTTCTCATCAAAAAGATTTTCGGACTCGCTTTGGTCTAAATCAGTGTTGAATTAAGCTTATGTGATAATTAAAGCCTAAAAGATATCTCATTTGTAATTCATAGTAGAACATTTATAGATGAGAATCAAGAAAACCACAAATTATTTAGCTGCAATTCCTACGTTGTTTATCACATTCATTTTTTTTTGTAAAATTTTTCACATTGTTAAATTTTGTTTTTAAAATTTAATTGGCAAATGTTTTAAAAATTCTAAAAATTTGTATTTTTTTAGTTTGTTTGTTATATATAGACATATAAATTTAAAATCATTTAATAATTATATAACTCTTTCACAATTAATCTGTTTTCTAGTTTTTTGAAAACAAAATTGTTAAAAAAAAAATTTAAACATATTTATTCAATCGATCTAAGAAATTAAAAAATGTTAGAATAACTCAATTAATTACTTTAAACTTGTAAATCACTCAAGACTGATGATATTTGAATTTTACTTTCTCACAGAGGTATTGCTTTGTTGAGAATTTTTAACTTCCACCATATGTCCAAAATTCTTTAAACACATTTAAATTTGAAAAGTTGTTGATGATTATTAGTGGTTCATATACATGGCTAGTTACGGTCCAACCACACACAAAGCGTGTTAAGCACATGGTTCGATTACGTTTTAATTATACTATTATCTTTCTATTTTTTTCCTGAAATCCGAATGACCTTTCATAGTTTTTTTTTTCTCTGGCAATAATCAATTTAGTCGGTATAACATATGGTAGATTTCAACCATATGAAATTGAGAAATARAGTTGAAGATAAAAAAARAAAAGTTAAAACAAATATTTGATTAAATTTAACGACACAAATATTTGATTAAATATATTCATTATAACTAACAAAAAATAGCTATGATTATAAGTTGATTATATCTATAAATAAAAAAAATCATATGAACCTGTAAAATTGACATGTAAGCGTATATAAAATTTATATGTTTGAATTACCTCTCTGATGAGATTATGTTGGCATTTGGAAGCTCTTCTATGTCATTATGTAAATTATGTGTAGCTACTCTCTGTATAGGAAATCATACACATCTATAAGAAAATCATATGAAGAGTTTCTTATATATATATATATAGCAATACATTACACACACGAGAAACATATGTAGTTTTGATTCCAATAATTAATGATATACTTCCACATAGACATATGAATATAAAATTATATATACAGTAAAGAAATCAAACATGTATTTGTACTTTGTAATGCATATGCATGCATCTTCTATATATAAACCGGTTATCTATTACGAACTTGAAATTCTATTATTATTGATAAAATGTTATATGTATTTGGTTCAAAGCAAAAGAAAAACTTTTTTTTCTCTATTACCATTTAAGGTTTTTAATATAGGCAAAAAAGTTTAATAAGATTGTACTTTTTAAGTATGAATAATTTTTCGTAAATAGAATAGTATGTAGAAATAGAAAAAATCAAGATTTAGAAAAATAGAAGTTTTCTATTATAAAACAAAACAAAGAAATTAACTTATACTAAATGCTTT